GATAGATATATGTATTTTTTATTACTAATAAGAAATATAATATAATAAAATCTATTAAATATTATATACTTTTGGGAGATATTATTTTCTATTATCAACTTTTTTTATAGAAAATCTCGAATTATAAATGTAATATTACATTTAGAAGGCAGATTTTAGATTTGGTCAGTTTAAATAGAGATACATGTATTTTATGTATTGCTAGAAACAATTTAAGTCCAGCATTTATTCTCACTATTCAATAACTGTTTTTTGGAAAAATAAAGTTTCATATATGTTGTAAATATATTTCGATAATGAATATCTTCAAAATAAAAATACGTATTTGTTGTGTACACAGTACACCTGATGATTTCGAGTGTAAGAATTATTCATCTTTCACTAGAACCAAGAAAGATGAGCCTCGGTAAACAATTAAGCAAGAACACTACAAGAAATATATATATGGGCATTGATAGCACATTATAATTGGCGAAATCATTTGCGATTGAGTAGATTCACGAAATCCTTTGCTTTTGTAAACTGATTGTGTTATTTTTATACTCTGAAATCATTTGTGTTTGAGTAGATTCATGAAATCATTTGCTTTTGTAAACTGATTGTGTTATTTTTATACTCTGAATTTTTGAGTAGATTCACGAATGTGTATACTCATTGTGTTATTTTTTCAAGTGTTTGTGACAGGTTATATATACACATCTAACAAGCTACATATTTTTCCCATCATACGGCAGGTTAGTTCTATAACTCAGATGTTTATTGTCATTTTTTCTTGTTTATGCGTGATGTGTTTGTTATTAGATTACATTGACTGCTGTTGCTTCTTTCTCGTGGTTACATTCTAATTGGTTATAAAGAGATTGATTTGGTCTGAAAGTTGTATGAGTATGAATTGTTGTTCTAACGGTTTTTATTAAGGTGAGATCATATAATGTTGGACAAGACATGGGTGCATCTTTGTAGACTAGATCCTGCTTATGAAAGAGGTGCATGGATTTTTATCCGGGCTGTGGCTGCTGGTAAAGGAGAGAATCAGTAGATAATCTGCCTTTACAATGACTGTCACAATGTAGATCGTCATTCATGCAGTGATGTAGTTGATCATCTTGTGATAAAGGGTATGGATGAGGTTTACAAGAGGCGTAAGGACTGGTACCATCATGGAGAAGTTTGCTCAGTTTCTGAAGGTGAAAGGAAAGTAAATCAGTGTCATGAAGAGATTGCTGGGTTATACAGAGCTGCTCAGTATGTAGATCATGATATGGCTGCTGCGGCTGACTTGTGCGAGATTGTAGAGGGAGAGGACAAGGAAGAAAATGCGTTTCTGGCAAAGTTAGCAGATTTGGAAACCCCATTATATCCAAACTGTGCAACCCATTGCAAGCTATCAGCTATTGTCACATTCCAACAGCGATTAATGATC